CAGAATCTTGTGCCATTTGCTGCGAATCTTCTGAAAGAGCGATGGCTTGATACTAATTTACGAAATCCATCCACATACCGGAGCAGATGCGCGCCGAGTGCGACAAATAATGTTGGTTTAGCTATGGCAACGTGCAAATTCTTGAGTGTGAAGCAAAATTTTATTTTTACTGCGTTGCTTAGTATAAAAGCCACCAAGAAAATCAAAATACACCGCTCAAATTCTTAACATTAATGTTAGCCAACAACTACTAATATGCGTGAAAAGAGAAAAAATGTGCTTTTCTACATTGGGCTGAAAAAGTGTGCGAATAGGAGAAAAGCGCTGGAGATTGCCTCCAGTGGAATCCGTAATGATTGTTGAGTTTTTCAGTAGAAATGAACGTGACAAGACTTTCAACCCATCTCCTCACGGTTTCGCTGCTAGCCTTCTTCTCGACAGCGTTAGGAAGTGGAGTGATGCCTGCAGGTCAAGGTAGTAATTAGAAAGTGCTGTGGTATTATTAAATTCCCTGTTCAAGATGGAAACCCATGGACACCCATCAGAGTGAATATATCTGATACTTCACCATAAGCTTGAATAAGAATACACATGATGATTCAGTGTGTGATTATTTATTACAAAAAACACCAAAATCTCATTGCAGGGAATTCTAGACCTTTCACACTCACTGGCTTCACTTTGCCTGTTGTTGCCATGGTTTACTCTCCGAAAGCCGATGTTCCGTTCCGTGTCCCTGGTATTGCAGCTAACTAGGCGGCAGCCAGAGGATTTGTACAACGTCTCGTAATGCAAATAGTAAGTGGCAACTGTTCACTTGGATTTTTCGATCTTTACGGTATATTCAGAGAAGCCTAGAAGGTGCGCTCCGATTTTTTTGACAATTCGTCACTCACAGATACGTTTTTCGAACAAGTGCAAAAAAATTCATTAAACAGGTTATTGATGTTCTCGAGCGCCAAGGCCGTAGTGCACTCCTGCCTGATGCTGTAATTTCGGCCATTTTGGGTCATCAGTGTTAACATCACTCATGAACCAATGAAATGCGAGGATGTTGCAATTACTCTAATGGAAAGGGGTGGGTCTTCATGATCAAAGTCTTTTGAAATTCCAAGCAGAAATTGCAACCATCAAAAATGCAGATTTGTATCCGTTTCCTCTGAAAAACACAGAGTTTCTAAAAAATGACTACGAAATGTCATAGAATATGAAAAGACATCACAGTGGCCTTGAAGCGAAGATTTAGAGCTCGGCGCATTTACTGTTTGTGGTGGTGGCTAGAGAGTTTGAAAGAAAAATGAGGAGGTAACCCGAAACTGTATATAGCTTTATGAGACTGGTTCATCAGGAATAGATGCCTTTTTAGGATTTGTAGTTTCTTGCAGTCGGCAACGCGCAAAACCCCTCACAGCGCTGCATTATCGTCAGCGGCAACACGGTGACGGGAATTTGCAGTAAAATGGCAGTGAGAGGAGGACCATGCAATGTGCCAGATATGGTGAAAATAACGGATGTTCCCGTCAAATGCACGACAATTTCCGGAACTGTTTCGGTTTGAACAGCTCTTGTTTTTGTACAATACTGTTTCACAAGAAAAAGAATGTGTATAGACCACGAATATCATCATGGCTAATTGATCGAAGGCGATGTGGCAAAGTGTATTGAACAGAGCGGTTCAAATGCTGGCATCCGGTCCAATTGGACTACACTTTTCTCGGCATCGGCGACTGTCGGAGGAAACTGAAATTGAACTGTGTTGCGTGATACAAACATTTTTGTTTGATTGAGTCTTATTGTATAAACGACAATAAATAGCAGGTTACAAGGGATTCGCCAAACTAATGCAATGAGTTACTTAAAGTAGCACAGTGTGATGAACTAAGGTTTTAGTACTCCTTCAGATTCTATCAGATTTCCCAGCAATGCCTTCGCATTTCTACTCTTTCTTCGATAATCCAGTTGTTAGTCAAGAGAAGAAAATTAGTTATGATGACAAAAATTCTTTTCGTTTAGCCGCTTCTAGCAGTTGTATAATGTAACGAATATACATAGTGATCTTGAGTAATGTGCAAAGCTTTAATGTCAAACTGCACGCGAACCCGCAATTTACCCTTTCCGCAGATTGGTGCTTATCGATTCCTTACCGACGTCTGCTTTGCCACCGCTCAACATCAGGAATTAATCAATTAAAAAGTGCAGTCACCACAAAGATCATTCACATCAAGCCATTTGCTCTGTAAACATCGAATGCCTTCTAGAAAGATTGAGGCTCGCAATTAAACGAGTCGATGAGGTCACTTTTGAGCTGGTTGTAGCCTAGATTCTCTCTTCCGCAGATGCTGCTTCAGTCCGCAGTTGAGATGGCAATCGATAGAGTAAAATCAGGGCTATATAGTGCATTGGTACCGTGGTCCAGAGTTGTTTCTCAAAACGTGGCGAGTCAACTTCAGGAGCGACATGGTTGGTCAATGCATGAGGTGTGTAACAAGGCATCATATTGCGATAGCCTATTTTATTTAGATAGAGAGCGAGGGTGCTACGCTCGTATTCATGTCTGCCCAAGCTACCGTTAAATTTGTCAACAAATCACAGCTTTCTAGCAATAATAAATTTGCAAGAGAAAACTGTCGAAATCATTGGAGAAGTATTGATTAGATTAAAACAGAAAGACGTAAGATTATCAACTGGAAGAGGATCTATTACGAGAACACCTGGGCCCCAAATGGAGATGTATTGGTACGCCCACTAATAAGTGGCCAGACCAGGTAGCTGAAGTTGACTGATTGACACCGAATAATGATCATTTCTGAATTCTTTTGTTGTCAACAGATCTTGTGTTATTGAACGCTCAAAAAATATTTTTGTGTAACTTTTCTCCGTATCCAATGTAAGATTATCAAAATAAAATGGGAAAGCCTTAGTTGTCGCCAATCGTTGATCTTCTTGTCGAAGCGCGCACGGCTCATGTGAGGCATTCAAAATCATAAACAGGAAAGTTCTGAATGTTCAAGACATCTTGAACGCTACTGACTATGCCTCTGCAACTAACAGCTTTCGTACCTATAGGCAAGTAATGGAACATTTATTTGAGTATATCATAAACTTTAATCAGGAAGTCATTTTAACACTTATATTAGGTTTCATGATATTTATATGGGAGTATGGTCACAGCCATAATGACAAAAGTGCTAAAAATCCCAGGCACGTCAAAAAAATCGTGCAGCTCAGCGAAAGAAGTCAAAACTCTTTGGTATTAGATCAATGCCGTTGAATGCTGATAGTATCAGTAAGGTAGGATAAGCCGCCTAGATCAAGGTGAGACGTGGGACTTGGAGCTGTGGGGAGGGAGCAGCCGGAAAACGTATTTCCAAAATTGAACTCCAGCAAAAGTGCTCCAGCCTTGACAGCTTCTTTGTGGTTGCGTCTCGCATACTATCATTACATGGAAAAAATGAAGTTGCAAATTCTTAATGGTCACTCTTCAGGCTTCAACTCACGCCCCTTCAATAGACGACTCATTTCTAAAGCTGACGTTTCAGCTATTTTGCCTTCTTCAGAGCCGGTAAAGATCAGAGCTTCGGTTGCTGCTTGAGGATTGTGGTCTCGTTTATGAGTGCAATTAATGTAGATTTATTACTACTGTAGCTTTAGGAGAGCTGAGTTGGAGCGTTTTTCCTGAATAAGCAAGGCGTGAATTGTTCTCAGACAGGCCTACTTTCAAACTTCGTCTCCGAGAAGCGAGAGACTCGGTGAGCTCGCGGAGTTGAACCATCACGGTGTTTGCATGCATTACAATTACTGCGGTACCTCTCCTGAAATGTCAAATATCGCATAAGTACAAAAGTATTCGCCGTTATAGACCGCTAATGCGATGATTAGTTTTGTAATTGCCATTTCCTTGATTAAAACTTCAAAGAGTTTGGTCCCCTTTTTTTGAAACTCGATGGCTAACGATTCGGCGACTCCGCCTTCGTCAGAGGCTAGACGTGCTCTATCAGACTACAAGTATTAGGATCCCAATACCGACTATCTACTAACCTCGGCATAGCTTGAAGTAAATGAGTGTCTTCTTCTGCATAGCCGCTCCGAGGTGTCATTGATATTATTTATTTAATATCAACGAAGCATATAACAATGCAGTTAATAATGCACCATGAATATTACAACATTATCAATATTCGTTCATAACGTTGTAATATTCATGCTGCATTAATTGTATTGTTATATGCTTCGCTGATATTCAATAAATGATATCAATAACATCTCGGAGCGGCTAAACAGAAGAAGACACTCATTTATTCAGACTACAAGTAATTATTCGGTTAATATTATGCATACTAAGAACCTAGTATAAAACAATTCAACAGTTTCGCTATCATACAAAAAAGCACAACCTATTCAACATTAGCTATCTTCCCATTTAGGCATGGAACAACGTTGTTCGCATTAAAGATCAAATAAAATTCTTTTTGTTCAGCTGCTCTAGCGGTGGTATGATGTTTTCAAGTATACTCACTGATGTAAGGTGATGTGCAAAAACTTTCGCGTCAGGGGGGCTAGAACCTGTACCTCACTCTTTCCGGGAGCGCGTGCTCTGTCCGTTACACTACTGACGCCCATTTTGCACATCAGTCTTTCTACGCTACAGCGCATCTATCTGCCAGCAGCCAGCCGTTATCAGCTTTTGAAAATTGATGTTCAAAATGGGCGTCAGTAGTGTAACGGACAGAGCACGCGCTCCCGGGAAGAGTGAGATGCGGGTTCTAGTCTTGCCTCACGCAAAAGTTTTGCACATCACTTGATATCAGCGAGTATACTTAAAAACATCATGCCACCGCTAGAGCGGTTAAACAAAAAGATTTTCATTTGATCTTCAATACCCAATATCTGTCAGCGTGACTGCGTTTAATGCCGAGACCGACTACCCGGGCCAGGCCGATAACTGCTGACGGCTGGCAGATAGATGCGCTGTAGCGTAGAAAGATTGGTGTGCAAAATGGGCGTCAGTAGTATAACGGACAGAGCACGCGCTCCCGGAAAGAGTGGGGTGCGGGTTCTAGTCTTGCCTGACGCGAAAGATTTGCACATCACTTGACATCAAATTGCTTTCATTGTTTGTGTCATCAGGCCTGGTTCTCCCTATTAACCTGATCTCAGTGGTTGTGCTTTTGTAGCCATTCAAGATGGCTCTTTGTCGAGCAAAGTCTAGTAATTCCTCCCTCCTCCCACCGTATCAAGACTTACAGTCGCTCGATATATGTTTTGAACAAGTGCTGTAATCGTGTGCGAGAGGTGGGAAGAGAGGTAATGTACTAATGTGTTTTATTACTTGGTTTGCAATACCTGTTCGTCATGTGGCTATTTTCCAAAAGGTGTATCTGAATGTTCAAAGATGAAAGCCAATTCTTTCCAAGCTTTTCTCCTGCAAGCTCAATGTATTCCACTAACTAGTTAACAGTTCAAAAATGCCCCATCTCTTCTTGTGTCGAGTAGATGGTGAAACTATGTATTGATAATCATTATTTGAGCCACGCATGTCAGTGGTCTGTCAATGAGGGCTGACTTATAAAGCCCGATACACGTGTTTCGATCTTGCGATCTCGTCAGTCGGGCAGTTGCCCTTTCTCGTCTTTTGCTAATCTCTGTGGGTGCTCCAGTCCCCACAATAAGAGTTAGCGACGACGTACGTTTTACATTCTATGTCCAATGAAGAACTCACCAAACACAGAGTGTTCTACACTCGAATGCCCGTGGCTAGTATATTTAATATAACATATCTTTCATTTCGAGTCGTGCAGTTGCCCATCTATGTATTGACATCAGAGTAATGGACCACACGCTGAGAATTGCTGCTTCCACTTTAGACATAAGGGGTACAAACTTCAATAACTGCGATAAAATGAGCCTCAAAAACCATGTAACCTTATTGGTCGGTCTGCTTATCCACTAATGATCGGTAGATCTAACGTTGAATGTTGAAGGATTAGTAGAAGCTCATTATTGCTTTGGATTTGGGTTGAGCAGATTGAAAATTAGGATCCGTTCGAACAGTGAATGCGCACTATACGAAAGGATCATACCTCCCAGTACTGTGATTCTCGGAGCTTTTGGAGCGTGATTGACCTCATATTTACTTCTAGTCCCGTTGAGAATGGAGCTTCTCTAATTTTTTGACGTTGACTTTTGCTTACGTAGTAAGCCTTCAAATTTCCACCGCAAACTGGTTTTCTATATTATACCGAACAATGTCATAAATAGGTATCGATCCAGCTACTAATCTTCTCCAAGCACTGTTTTCTAAATACCGAAACCAATGCGATTCCTTGCGCACGCACTTATTTATTAGCTCAAACAATTCGTTTTGTACAGTTCGATAACAAATGCGTAATAATCGCTTGTGGACGTTGAAGCATTTGGCACGAATTCTCTGATAAGCCGCCCATTGCACGTGAATTCTCTATCCAAATAAAATTAAAGATACTTTTGTGTATTGTGCGAACGACGATAAAAGCAATTTTTTTGTCGAATCAAGGCGAATTTGTGTTTTGACAACACGTCTTTTACAAGTTTTAAATATCTCGTTAGTACGTGTTGTAAAAATTCATAAGTCCTCCTCACTCTAATGCTTGGCATAAGTAACAAAAATGCAAAACTTCTTACGGCTCGTCCTTTTCTTCAATTAAAAGTTGCATGAGGTTCACACTCCTTCTTTTGAAATTCAATAGCTAACATTTTGGCCAATTCATCTTCATCAGAGCCTAGACGTACTATATCATACCACGCGCGATCGGTTAATGTTTTTGTGCACTAAGAATCTAATACAAAACAATTCAACAGTCTGATTATTATATAAAAACCTCGTTTTTTTAACATTTTTGTGACGAGGTCACTGGTGTTATATGACAGTACACGCTATGACGAAGGCGAGGCTCGCCAAAGCGTCAGTCATTGAACCATCGAATTTCAAAAAAGGAGGACTGATCTCGTGCAAGTTTTGTCCGAAGAAAATGACAGTTAGTAAGAAATCTTGCATTTTCATTACTCAGGCAGTGGTTTAAAAAGAGGTGTGCTTTTGATTCGTTACTTTTGCACGTACTCCAAATGGGGAGAACGGCGAAATGGCCGCCGTCGAGATCTTTTACAGCATTTTGTGTAGTTAAAAAGAATCATCCCTCCAAATGGTGCGTGCTCATTCGCTGTTAGAATTGAATCCCAGTTTTCCACCTGTTCAGCTCATATCCAAAGCAATGCTCAGCACAGCACGTGATCTCATGAAGTCCAGAATCAACTGCGTTATAAAGCGTAAACAGAAAGATCGGATTTGGAGCAACAAAGAGGAGCTTTACCACTACTTCCACTCCCTGGAACGTTTTCAAAAAAGCAACAACCTGTTGATGAAGTAGACCCAAATTTTTGTTTCTTTTCGAGCGAAATTCTTCATATGCTATAAGGTCTGCAACTAAGTTTCCGAATTGATCTAGGAAATAAAATTTTCCCAAAAGCGAGTTTTCTTCACCTATTTGTGCAGAATTTCTTGCGCGTCGTTATGGTATATTTTTGCACATACTTGTCCAACAATAGAGCGGTCACGGGAAGTCATTCACAACCTGCTGCTTTACGTGTTTCAGTTGGGGTACAATTTTCAAACCGCATTTGACAACATCAACGTGCAAAAGGCTGCCAAGATGTGTGTAGAACTACAGCGTGTGAATGCTTTACGAAGTTTCCCAGTAGAGATACTGATTTGGCCCATCAACCATGGTCGGGAAGACCGCGTGAAATTGATCGACAAGCAATCATTGAAGCGATTGAAGAAGATCCGACTTTGTCAACCGGTGATTTGGCCGTTGATTTTCAATGTTCAAACGAGCAGATCAGGAAGATTTTGAAAGATGCAGTTAAGAGTTGGCGCAAGGGCAAATGGATTCCGCACGATCTCACACAAGCTCAAGAACAAGAGAAAGCGCATTGCGCAAGCATATCATTGTCGTCATCGCCGCTCTTTGTTTTGACCAGAATTGTCACCATTGCTAAGAAGTGAATCTTCTTCGAAAGCCAGCGTCGTCCAAATCAGTGGTAGAGTCACCAGGTCAGCAAGGAACACCAATACCGAGACCAAATCCATTTGCGCCAAAAGCAATGTTGATCATTTTCTGGAGACCGATGTGGGCCGATTCATTGGGACTTGCTGCAGGATAGTCAGACCATCAACGCTGAGCAATATTGTCAGCAAGTGGACCGTTCCAATCCAATTTCCACGTCACCGCCGTAGCCGAATCATTTTGCTTCAAGAAAATGCAAAGCCACACGTTGCCAAGGAAACAAGAAAGAAGTTGGCCGATTCGTGCTGGAGCACTTGGATCACCCGCCGTATTCGCCAGATCTGTCTCCGTCCGATTCATCTCTTCAAATCATTCCAGCATTGTCTGGACAAGAAGAAGTTCCGAGACATCAATATTTGCGTCGAGAATTGACTGGTTGGTTTTCATTGAAGATTAATGAGTTTCATGAGCGCGGAATTGATTTGTTACCGGAGCGTTGGCAGAATTGCATCCAGGCAGACGGAGAACACTTCAGTCAATATTGTTTGATACTTTCGATTACTTGGAAAGATAAATTTTGAATTTCTGACCGAAGTTCGGGAGCTTAGTTGGACACCGAATAAATAGGTACCTATCAAAAAATTTAACTCGAACATAATTCAGGAGCAAAGCTTGATATACGCTAGATTCAGGAGCTAATGAACGCGAAAAGATTTTGGTTATCGATTGGTCATTAAAGCGGGAAATTGACACACTGTAAGAAATTGATTCTATTCAGACCAGAAAATGGATCTCAGATAAGGCTTTATGTCATTTCTTATGCTCAGTTATTCTCTCGTTTATTCATTCTTGGGCTTTAGCGGTCTATCCAAAGTCTTAAAGGCTTTTTCCGCTAATGTTTTCGATTCTTCCCCCAAGAATATTTACTATGATATCGAAGTCCATATCTTTGTGATCTACCCCACGACGTCCTGAGGGCTTACTTGTCTGGCTTTCGATTTCTCTTCTAAGTTCCTTTTGATGAGGATCTAAAGTGATTTACCGACTTCGCAATGTATTTTTCACCAGAAGTCGAACAAGTGATCTGAATCTCCGTCTCTACCATAACGGTGTATTATGCAATTGTTGGTTTTGCATATACTGTCGTGCAAGTGACTGCGAACAATTTGGCGACGTAATGCACTGAGTGAATGTTTACAATTTTTACAAAGTTTGCCAGATCATTTTTTTGTTGTTTTGCCTATCAAGAATCACCAGCGTCACTTTGAATAAAAATGGCTCTTTTGAAGTTTGCTCACGATCTATTATCTGTGGACCACCCTCTTTAATAGGCGATAGAAATCTTTATTTCGTCAGAAAACTAAAACGTAATAGTGCTTTCGAGTGTCTTCTTGAGACCACGCTCAAATTCAAGATATCTCATACTTATTATCTGGGCCTCCCTCTTTGAGGTATCCCGCCCGGTTAGTCGCGAGGGCACGTGGCGCGTCCCCAGGTGGTGGATAAGGGAATAAACGCGAACCAAAAGCGACCGTGTGCTTCCCAGAGACGCAGGTGGATTCAGGGATGAGCTCCCTGCTTCTGCAGCGCCGACTTGACAAAAACTCTATTTCTACTAGTCAAGTCGGACAAAAGCCTGCAATCAAGCGGCTGGGAAGCACATGGTAGGCGGTTAGGAGTCGCCTCCAACAAATAAGCTCCTCCCGCTCCTCCGGAGAGACTGGCAAGCTACTCGTGAGTACCCAGCCCCACGTTTAGAGCCTGGCAAGCTACACGTTGGGTATCAAAGTGCCAAAGACAGCAACAAATATCGGCCTCATTCCCCTGACCCCGAAAGAGCCCTTGGTACGGCAGCGCCAGGTAGGACGAGTACGGAGAGGCTGCTAAAATCTCAGGGCCGAACTAGGCTGCCAAGATCGAAACGGACTAAAATGACGATCTGTACCTACAACGCAAGAACCCTTGCTCACGAATCCGTGTAGAAGATCTATTGATTCAAGCAAGAAGAATAAGGTACGACGTCATTGGCCTG